GGTTGCGATCCGTTGCCGGTCACGAAAAAAAAAAAGAACCTGGAAGACATTTTTTTTTTTTCTTCCAGAACATGACCTGTAAGGGTATCTCAACCCGTGGCCTTGGTGTTATCAGCACCACACTCTCCCAAGTGAGCCACGGGCCAGCCCCTGGAACCTGGAAGATTTAACTTCATATTGTGAGGGAAAATGATTTTCAACCTAGAATTCTATGCCCATTCACATTTTCAGTTAGCTGTGAGAATAAATACAATTTATTACATAAAAAATTCACATCCAGGGCCTGCCCGTGGCTCACTTGGGAGAGCGTGGTGCTGATAATACCAAGGCCACGGGTTCGGATCCCTGTATAGCAATGGCGGGTTAGTTTACTTGGGAGAGCATGGTGCTGATAACACCCAAGTCAAGGGTTAAGATCCCGTTACCGGTCATCTTTTAAAAAAAAAAAAAAATTTACGTTAGTTCCTTCCTTAGGAACTTACTGGAAGATGTGCGCTACTGTAACATGAGAATAAACCAAGAGAAAGATATAGGATCCAGAGAACATGAGATTGAACACAGGAAAGAGGTGAATAGAATTCCCCGTTTAGTAGTGAAGGGAAGTTCTGAGAAAATAAGTATGTATCAGGCCTACAGAGTAGCTAGTGCAGATTAGAGCAGGTGGGATAAGGGCTTCGATAGGGATGGTCTTCAGAAAAAACTAAAAAGGAACTGATGGATTATGATAAATTTGAACGTATAGAGAATGACACTGAGTAACTGGACTCTTAGCCTTATATGTCCAAATAGAGTTGCCAAAGAGGGGGCATGAAGAGTTGTAGAAGAAAACTAGGAAACCATTACCTCTAGGAAAACCAAATTGTTATACAGGAACAGAAACTCATCTTAATATTGGCTCTGCACTGAACAAAAATTACATAGATAATATAAATGAGATGGAGGTGATGGGTCAAAAGATAGTTTTTGATTAGTTCTATTTAGTACTTTAATAATACTTTTACGATAGTTCTATTTAGTGTTTTAACGAGGTTCATGTGTTAATTTAAGGCAAATAAAACATTAAAAACATGGGGCCGGCCCGGTGGCGCACTGCGCTAGTGCGCCGCTTGGGAAGCGTGGAGGCGCTCCCGCCGAGGGTTCGGATCCCACATACAGACCGGTTCCCGCTCACTGGCTGAGCGAGGGGCGGGAGCAACACCGAGGGTTGCGATCCCGTTGCCGGTCCCGGTCCGGTACGGGGGCGACACGGGGGGTTGCGATCCGTTGCCGGACCCGGAAAAAAACAAAAAAAAAAAAAAATAAAGGTACCTTTATTTTTTTTTTTTTTTCTTTTTCCGTGTCCGGCAACGGATCGCAACCTTCAGTGTCGCGCCCGTACTGGACCGGGACCGGCAACGGGATCGCAACCCTCGGTGTTGCTCCCGCCCCTCGCTCGGCCAGTGAGCGGCCGGTCTGTATGTGGGATCCGAACCCTCGGCGGGAGCGCCTCCCCCCTTCCCAAGCGGCGCCCTGTAGCAGTGCGCCACCGGGCCGGCCCCCCCTTTTTAATGTTTTATTTGCCTTAAATTAACACATGAAACTCGATAAAACAACAAACAGAACAATCAAAAAAACAAAAAAAAAAAAAAATAAAGGTACCTTTATTTTTTTTTTTTTTTCTTTTTCCGTGTCCGGCAACGGATCGCAACCTTCAGTGTCGCGCCCGTACTGGACCGGGACCGGCAACGGGATCGCAACCCTCGGTGTTGCTCCCGCCCCTCGCTCGGCCAGTGAGCGGCCGGTCTGTATGTGGGATCCGAACCCTCGGCGGGAGCGCCTCCCCCCTTCCCAAGCGGCGCCCTGTAGCAGTGCGCCACCGGGCCGGCCCCCCCTTTTTAATGTTTTATTTGCCTTAAATTAACACATGAAACTCGATAAAACAACAAACAGAACAATCAAAAAAACAAAAAAAAAAAAAAATAAAGGTACCTTTATTTTTTTTTTTTTTTCTTTTTCCGTGTCCGGCAACGGATCGCAACCTTCAGTGTCGCGCCCGTACTGGACCGGGACCGGCAACGGGATCGCAACCCTCGGTGTTGCTCCCGCCCCTCGCTCGGCCAGTGAGCGGCCGGTCTGTATGTGGGATCCGAACCCTCGGCGGGAGCGCCTCCCCCCTTCCCAAGCGGCGCCCTGTAGCAGTGCGCCACCGGGCCGGCCCCCCCTTTTTAATGTTTTATTTGCCTTAAATTAACACATGAAACTCGATAAAACAACAAACAGAACAATCAAAAAAACAAAAAAAAAAAAAAATAAAGGTACCTTTATTTTTTTTTTTTTTTCTTTTTCCGTGTCCGGCAACGGATCGCAACCTTCAGTGTCGCGCCCGTACTGGACCGGGACCGGCAACGGGATCGCAACCCTCGGTGTTGCTCCCGCCCCTCGCTCGGCCAGTGAGCGGCCGGTCTGTATGTGGGATCCGAACCCTTGGCGGGAGCGCTGTTGCGCTTCCCAAGCGGCGCACTGTAGCAGTGTGCCACCGGGTCGGCCCAAGAATTGTCATTTATAACAGGAGATTGGAGTAATGAATTGACTAATAAGAAATAAAGAGAACACTAATGCATATAGGAATTGTAGATATAAGGAGCACCCACCACTACCCCCAAGGCTGAGATCTAGTCCTTGTTGAAGAGGGCAGATGTGGCTCACTGAATGGTAGAGAGGGTGCTGTGGATCTGTGCTGGTGGAATTTGCTATAAGTCTGCCTTCTGGAACATGCTAGAAATTTATGCTCTAGGGTGCTTAGGAAAGCTGTTTAGGGAGAGGTCTATCAGGAGGCACTCTGCTAGAAAACTGCAGGTGGGGGACATGAGGGAGCTGCTGGCCTCCACACACTGCTGGAGATAAGCACTGGAGAAACTGCCCATTCAGCCCAGGCTGCAGAAAGAAGCCTGGTGCTAGAGAAACTTAGAGTGCTGTAGGAGTTGGCTGAGCAAGCAAACTGGAATCAGAAAGCAAAACCCTTTCCTTCCGGTAGTGTCTGTCTCTCCAACATCCTCTGCTGACAAAGCTTCAGTGCCTGTTGACAAAGGAAAAATATTTAGCCCAGATCCATTTTCACAGAGAAGGCAAAAAAGGTGAATTTGGAACTGAAAAGCAGTAAGTTGATAATTGGCTGGGGTTGTTCGTTTTTGGTTCATTTGTTTTTTCCTCGAAGGAATCCACAATAGTAAAAATGTTGGTACTTAATCTCATGTCTTCCCAGTGAGTCTGTAAACTTTTCCAAGGCCCTTAATCATGCTAAAGGCCATTGTTATTCACAGAGTACAGAAAACTTTTTTCCCTTCCATATATTTACATAGATGTCTGAAAATGAATTGCAAAATAATATTTATGGGTAGTAGGGATTTTGGTCATTTCTTAACAGCTCACTAATTTTTAACTTGTAATTCAAAGTTTACCAGTACACCTATTCAAAGAATTTGCTAAAAAATTGTTTAAATATGATTGGAATATAGGTATGTTCTCTTTTCTCCCACCCAGCCTTTGTGCCTGCCTTTTAGCTAGATATTTTTTTTTCCATCTTAAACTTTCCTCTGGCTAACTCCTATTCATCCGTCACCTTTCATGCCACTTCCTCTAGGAGGCCTTCCCTGACCCATCTAGAGTAGGTTAGGTGTTGTGTGATCTAGGACCCTGTACTCTCACTTAACATACCATGTTGTACATAGATGTATATATCTGTAGTGTTCACCACCTCCACCCCAGGGGAGGGGAGGGAATGTCTTGTTCCTTGTTTCGCTTTTGGCTGCTGGCCAGTTTGGGGATCCAAACCCTTGACCTTGATGTTATCAGCACCACGCTCTACCTAGTGAGATAACTGGCCCCTCATTTAATGAATAGGGCTTAAGTACAGTGCCTGTTAAATGGGAAATGCTCATTAAACATTTGTAGAGTGAGTAAAATGGGTAGTAAAAGTGCTGTTTACTTGGTTAGCAGTGGCAGGATCTAATGACACATGCAGTATACCTCAGACTAAGTTTTTAATATTTGTTACAGTTTTAAAGTTTTTCTTATTAAATTTATACTATTATCTGTATAACAACTATCACAAACCACCTTGAAATGGCTGCCTCTTACTTTTCTTTCAGGTTCCTTTTTTGCCAGGAGATTCAGACCTTGATCAGCTAACAAGAATATTTGAAACTTTGGGCACACCAACTGAGGAACAGTGGCCTGTAAGCCTTTATGCATTTTCTTTTAAATTTAGTTAGGATTCTATAAAGTTATTTAATTGTTTTATGCTTTATATAATATTGTCATGAGAATATTAAAGAAATTTCATTACTTTCTTTATTTTTAGTATATACTCATTACAAAATTTCAAATGACAAATATATAAAGCAAAAAGTTAAAATTATGACATACCATCCTACTACATGTATACATATAGCCCCTTCCCTCATCCCAATAATCCCATCCCAAGAGCAATCACTATTAACAGTTTGGTGTGAAACCATGCTGTGAGTGTACACACATAAACACATATGTACACGAAGGGTTTTCTTTTGTTCTTTAACAATAATTGGATGACACTGTATTTTGTGTGTGTGTGACCAGTTTGCTCTTTTTACTTAATACATATCACTGACCTTTTCCTGTTTTTGTTTTTGTTTTTCTTTTTTTTTTTTAAATCAAACATGCTATGGAATGACCTTTTCCGTTTTAACAGCTGTAGAATATTACTCAGCTGTTAAAACCAATGAATTAATTAACCAATGTCTTCTTGATGGATTTAGGTATATTTATAGTATTTTCACCAACACAGTTAAGGTGTTTCAGTATTATGATTATTTTATCCATTGCATTATTTTCAAAAAAGAAATATTAAATCCGTGGTAAAGTTTGTAGCAATTTAAGTTGTTAATATTGCAATTCAGTAATATAGTCTCACTTATTCATTCTTAAAATTATAGATCTTTTGAATTTTCTTCCTGTTGCAGCCCTACCTCCTGAGGAATAAATAAATACTAGAAAAGAGATTTCAATCAGGCTTTTTATCTTCTGGTTAAAACTGTAACAAAATTATCTGAAGCTGGAATCAATGTCTGAGGAGGGTTTTTTGTGCTGTTACTTTCTCAACTTCTTAATTGGAAGTTTGCTATCGATTCTTTTTTTTCTTTCTTTTTTTTAAAAAAAAAAAGATAACCGGTAAGGGGATCTTAACCCTTGACTTGGTGTTGTCAGCACCACGCTCAGCCAGTTAGCTAACTGGCTGAGCGTGGCGCTGGTAACACCAAGTCAAGGGTTAAGATCCCCTTACCGCTTATCTTTTTTTTTTAAAAAAAAAAGATAACCGGTAAGGGGATCTTAACCCTTGACTTGGTGTTGTCAGCACCACGCTCAGCCAGTTAGCTAACTGGCCATCCCTATATGGGATCTGAACCCTTGGCCTTGGTGTTATCAGCACCACGCTCTCCTGAGTGAGCCACAGGCCAGCCCAGTTTGCTGTAGATTCTAATTGTATTTTGTTGTTGTTGGCTGGCCGGTACCAGCAAGCAAACCTTTGACCATGGAGTTATAAGACTGTGCTCTACCCAACTGAGCTAACCGGCCAGCCTGGTTCTAATTGTAAAACATGCCCAAATAGCTATTATTTATTGAACATTTACTATATGCCATTCGTAGTGGGCTTTTCGTAAATTATCTTATAATTAATCATCCCAACAACCTTACAAATGAGACAGCTGAGACTTAGTGAGATTAAGTAACTTACCTAAGGCTGCACAGTGTCAGATCTAGCACTGCAGTCTGGTTCTGTCTGACTCCAGAGTCCTTGTTCATAATATTTGTTCTGTAATTTTACCTTTAATATGATTTTCTTTTCTTTTCTTTTCTTTTTTGTCCTTTTTGAGACCGGCTGCACCGTGCTCAGCCAGTGAGCGCTGTGAGTGCACCTGTCATCCCTATACAGGATCCGAACCCGCGGTGGGAGCGCTGCTGCGCTCCCAGCGCCGCACTCTCCTGAGTGCGACACGGGCTCGGCCCTAATATGATTTTCTGAATGGTAATTGCTTACTGACTTTTTTTAATTAAACTTTTTTTTAAAGATTATTATAGATTTATGTGCAGTTGTAGGAAATAATACAGAGATACTTCATGTGCCCTTTACTTAGCTTCCCCTAATGGTAACATCTTGCAAAACTAGTACCTCACACCAGGATGTTACAGTCAAACTGCAGATTATCATCACAAGAATCCCTCATGCTACCCTTTTATAGCTGCACCTACTTTCCTCCCTCTTCCTCCTTAACCCCTTACATTTACTAATGTGGTCTCCATTTCTGTAATTTTGTCATTTCAAGAATGTTATATGAACGGACTCACACGATATACAGTCATCTCTCATTATCTGCAGGAGATTGGTTCCAGGACACTCCTCCCATCCCTACAGATACCAAAATCCATAGTTGTTCAAGTCCCTGATATTAAATGACATAGTATTTGCATATAACCTACACACGTCCTCCTGTATACTTTGAATCATTTCTAGATTACTTATAAGCAATATAAATGCTATGTAAAAAGTTGTATTGTTTAGGGAATAATAACAAGAAAAAAAAGTCTATACACATTCAGTACATATGCAAACATTGTAGGCCTGGCTACATTTTTGATTCTAGGTTGGTTGAACCCAGGGATCCAGAACCCATGGATAAAGAGAGACAACTGTATAACCTTTTGGGATTGACTTTTTTCATACGCAGCATAATTCTCTGGAGATTCATCCAGGTTGTTGCATGTCAATAGTTGATTTTTTTTTTTTTTTAACTGCTGAGTGTGGTATGAAAATACCACAGTTTGTTTAATCATTCACCTATTAGAGGACATCTGTGGTGTTTCTAGTTTGGGGCTGTTATAAACAAAGCTGCTATAAACGTTCGTGTACAGTGCTCTCTTTGGCAGCACATATACTAAAATTGGAAAAATATAGACAAGATCAGCATGGCCCCTGTGCAAGGACGACACACAAGTTCATGAAGTGTTCCATTAAAATAAAATTCATGAGGGCTGGCCTGTGGCTCACTCAGGAGAGTGCGGTGCTGATAACACCAAGGCCATGGGTTCGGATCCTATATAGGGAAGGCTGGTTCACTCACTGGCTGAGCGTGGTGCTGACGACACCAAGCCAAGGGTTAAGATCCCCTTACCAGTCATCTTTATTAAAAAAAAAAAAAAAAAAAAAAATTCATGTACAAGTTTTTGTGTAAAAATAAGTCTTTATTTTTCTGAGATAAATGCACAGGAATTCAGTTTCTAAGTCATATGGTAATTATATGTTTATTTTTTAAATAAACTACCAAACTTTTTCAGAGCAGCTATACCATTTTACATTCCCACCAGCAATAAATGAGTGATTCAGTTTCTCTGAATCCTCACCAGCATTTGGTATTGTCACTTTTTTTATTTTAGGCATTCTGATGGATGCATAGTGATAGCTCACTTATTTGCCATCTGTATAAGAACCCTTTTACCCATCTGAAGATTTTCCTGACTTTTCTTGTATTTTTTTTTCTAAAAATTTCATAATTTATTTAATTTAAATCCAGGATTCATTTAGAGTTCATTTTTTTATGATGTGTGAGACTTAGGGCAAGGTATAATTTTTTGCCTGTTTATGTCCAACTGCTCCAGCACCATATGTTGAACAGACCATCTCTCCATTGAATTGCTTTTGTACCTTTTTCAGAAATGCTTTGGGCAAGGGCTGGCCCACGGCTCACTTGGGAGAGTGTGGTGCTGATAACACCAAGGCCACAGGTTCGGATCCCTGTGTAGGGATGGCCAGTTAGCTCACTTGGGAGAGCATAGTGCTGACAACACCAAGTAAAGGGTTAAGATCCCCTTACGGGCCGGCCCGTGGCTCACTCGGGAGAGTGTGGTGCTGATAACGCCAAGGCCCCGGGTTCGGATCCCATATAGGGATGGCCGGTTCGCTCACTGGGTGAGCATGGTGCTGACAACACCAAGTCAAGGGTTAAGATCCCCTTACCGGTCATCTTTTTTAAAAAAATAAATAAATAAAAGATCCCCTTACTGGTCATCTTTAAAAAAAAATGCTTTGGGCATTGTGTGGATTTCTGGGTCCTCTGTTGTGTTCCATTGATCTGTCTATCTAGGAAGAAGGATTCTTCCCACTTTATTTTCTTTTTCAAAATTGTTTTAGCTACTCTAGTCCTTTGCCATTCTATGTAAACTTTATAATGATCGGTCAGTATCTACAATAATTTTGCCAGGATTTTGATTAAAAATTCCCTTAAACCTGCATATTGATTTGAGGAGAATCAACATCCTTACTTGTAATGTCTTCCAATACCTAAACGTGGTGTGTATCTTTGATTTATTTCATCAGCACTGTGTAGCTTTTAGTATATGAACCTGCACGTTTTGTTACATTTTTCACCTAAGTATTTCATTGTTCTTTTTTGGTGATTATAAATGTTATTGTGTTTTTAATTTCAGCATCCGCATGTTCATTGCTAGTATATAGAACTACAGTTGATTATTTTGTTTATCTTATATCCTGTAGCCTTGCTTTACTCACTAGTTCTGGGAATTTTTTATAGTTTTCTTGAGATTTTCTGCATACGCCATCATATCACCTGCAAATATGAGTTTTATTTCTTCATTTGAGATCTATTTGCCTTTCAATCCTTTACTTAAATTTGAATTATAAAAATATTTTTACAGGACATGTGTAGCCTTCCAGATTATGTGACGTTTAAGAGTTTCCCTGGAATCCCATTGCAACACATCTTCAGTGCAGCAGGAGATGACTTGCTAGAACTTATACAAGGCTTCTTCTTATTTAATCCATGTACTCGAATTACGGCCACACAGGTATCTTAGTATATTTTCTTTATATTAGGAAATATATCTTTATATAAATACATTAGGAAATATTAGTATATTTTCTTTATGTTAGAAAATACTGAACTCCTTAGTATATTTTCTTTATATTAGGAAATATATTTACTTATATTAGGAAATTTCTTAACTGTAGCATTGATAAGGAAAATAGAATTTCATAAAATTACCTAAATTCTTTAAATACCGGAAAGATGTGTTTTTGTTTGTTTTGAGGAATATATATGTTTTCTCCAATCTACAAACATTGTTCAGACTGGTATTAAATTATATCATATGCACATACAACTATAGAGCTTACAGTTGTTTGGGAACATATAAATACATATCTATTTCATATAATTGTCTTTTAAGTAGTTTACTTAGAAAAAAACCAAGGTTTTTGTATTTGTTAAGAAACATATTTTTCAGTTGAACTCTTATGTATTAATTTAATATTGTGACAAGCCTAATGCTGAAAGTGGTTTCTTTGGGATTTTTTTTCTCCCATAAAATATAATTCAAATATGCAGTCAGAAAGTGGTAATGGGAAGAAAATGGTATATATAGTCAGATACAATTGTGTGCTTAACGAGATTGAAAGACATTCTATATAAAATAAATGAGACTGACAGTTTAAAGAAAATAAGAATCAAACTCAAGAAAAATTTGGAAGAACACGAATATCTGCTGTTAGAAGGGAAAAGAGCTGGTCTGTGGCTCACTGGGAGAGTGTGGTGCTGATAACACCAAGGCCACAGGTTCAGATCCCTATATAGGGATGGCCGGTTAGCTCACTTGGGAGAGCGTGGTGCTGACAATACCAATTAAGGGTTAAGATCCCCTTACCAGTCATCTTTTTTAAAAAAAAAAAAAGGAGAAATGTCATTCAAAATACAAGACCTATAGATCTGATAAAAAACATTTTTTTTGTTTTAAAACAAAAACGCAAAAAAAGAGTTACAAGCACCTAATTGGGGCAGGGCAGGGCAAAAATACAATAGTACAATGATTTGACCTAATGATGGGAGAAATTAAGATGAAATGTCACAAGTCTTCATATCTAATGAAACACATTAATGCACAGTATTTCATGGGTACTAAGTAGATTTTCCCTCCCTTAGATTTTTTACACAACTACAAAATCATTGTTTAATGCATTTACTTTTATACGCCTTTCCCTTTTAGCAGTACACACTACGTGATTGTATGCATGCTGGATATTTACCATTAGAATTACTCTACCAATTTGAAATAAGTAAATTTATTTTTGCCTTTTCATCCATACTTACATACATATTATTTCCATCATAAGAAACTTGAGACTATGTTAAATTATCTAGAAAGTTGTTTTTATTGATAGTGTAACTTAAAACTTATAGGAAAATACTACTTGTGATAACATATTTGGGTTGTATTTTGATTGAATGAATATTTTTAAATGGGTTTTATCTCATGGATGTCTGTATTAAAGTTGGAATGAGGTACTTTTTTAGATCTCTATGTAGTCCAGAATTTAATTTCCTTATGAAACTGCTATGATTTGGAAGTACAGTCATGTGTCACTTAATGCTGGGGATATGTTCTGGAAAATGTGTCATTGGGCACTTTCATTGTTGTGCAAACATCATAGAGTGTACTTATACAAACTTAGATGGTATAGCCTACTACACACCCAGTCTATATTGTATAGCCTATTGCTCCAACCATCCTATATGTGGTTCATCTTTGAAACGTTATGCAGCACATAACTGTAATACTTTAGAGATGCAACTGTTGAGATAAGGAATCTCTAAATCATTACTGTAAATAATATAATGTTATGGGGGGAAAAGATTGAAAAAGTTTATATGGATTTCTTTTTTTTCCTAAGAGGATTATTCTAAGTTATTGTGGCTGTTAGACAGTACTTTTTTTTAAAAGATGAACAGTAAGGGAACCTTAACCCTTGACTTGGTGTTGTCAGCACCACACTCTCCCAAGTGAGCTAACTGGCCATCCCTATATAGGGATCTGAACCTGTGGCCTTGGTGTTATCAGACTCTCCCAAGTGAGCACGGGCCGGCCCCTAGACATACTGTTTTGATGATGTAAATAGATAAGTATGACTTGACAAGCTTGTCATTTAGAATAAAACTATTATTGGAATTGGGGGCCCAAGTTAAGAAAATACCATATTAGAGAATATCGGATTGGTGGTTAATAGAAATAACCTTGGGCAGGCCCTTTCAAGTAAGATTAGGTTATTTTGGTGGTTTGAATTGTAATCCAGGTTCTAATCTATTGCACTCTTTTAAAAGACTTATTTTTAAGAATATATATTTACATGACTTGGAACTTCAGTATGTGTAGATGTTGTGACAGATGAATTTGGAAGTTATTTTTAAGTTATTTTAAAGTATTTTCTCTGCATTTTGAACTATAGAGCTCATGTGTAGTGAACTGACATGTACAGTATCTTTCTAGGTATAGTTCATAATTAGTATAGGCTGTTTAATTGTGTACAGATTACAAGGGAGTCTTTTTCTTATAATAATAGAATTATCAGCCAAGCTTAGGATCCTAGATGTTTATTTGTAGTAATTTGCATGTCCAAATACTTAATGTTAATTTTTGTTTTGGGAGTGCTGGTGTTCACTTAGTATTTTTACTTCACATAGTTTAGATACTCCCTTAAAACCTTACTTTCTTTGATTTCTTTTAAAAGGCTTTGAAAACTAAGTATTTCAGTAATCGGCCAGCGCCAACACCTGGAAGTCAGCTGCCGAGACCAAACTGTCCATTGGAAACCTTAAAGGAGCAGTCAAATCCAGCTGGGGCAACAAAACGGAAAAGAACAGAGACCTTAGAACAAGGTAAAATTCTGATTTTTATATGAAATGAAATGAATTAAGAAAACTCCAAAGCTTATGTATAACTAGTGACTGAAGGGCAGCTAAGAATGTTTATGAGCTATTTACTTTATAAATTTAAATTGCATAAAATAGGTAAAATGCGTTTTTTTAGCTATATTTGTTTTCATTGGGAGTATTTAAGGAACTTTTGTGTATACCTCAGAGTTATGGGAACTATCATCAGCCTGTACCTTCCCTTCATAAATCCCCACCATACACTATACGCTTAATGTTTCACAAGTGCTATTGGAAAATCTAAGTCAGTAAAATAATGTTATTGGAATGCACTGACTTGTTAAAATCACTATAAAATGTGAACAACCTATTTTGTTTGTTTTCTAGGAGGACTGCCCAAGAAGCTAATTTTTTAGTTACAGAAAACAGTGGACAGTGGTTGCCGGTCACGAAAAAAGACAAAAAGGAAAAAAAAAAAACAGACAATTGAACTATGTCAAAATTAAAAACATCTGTGAATCAAAGGACATAACCAACATAATGAAAAAGCAGCTTTATAGAATAGGAGAAAATATTTGCAAATCATATATCTGATAAGAGGTCAATAATCAGAATATATAAACTCAAAAAACACAATTAAAAAATAGGTTAATTTGAAATCCCACAACTCAAAAAATGAACCCAATTAAAAAATGGGCAAAGGACTTGAAAATTTTGACATTTCACCAAAGATGATATACAAATGGACAAGCATATGAAAAGATGCTCAACATTACTAATAGCAGAAATGCAAGTCAAACCACAATGAGAGAACACTTTACACCCATTAGGATGGCTACTATCCAAAATAAAACACAGAAAATGTGTTGAGGAGGATGTGGAAAAATTGGAACCCTCATGCTCTATTGGAGGGAATATTAAAATGGTGCAACCACTATGGAAAACAGTGGTGGTTCCTCAAAAAATTAAATATGGAATTGCCATACGACCCAGCAATTCCACTTCTGGGTATATACCTAAAAGAATATACCTAAGCAGGATCTTGAAGAGATGTTTGCACACATGTTCATAGCACCGTTATTCACAATAGCCAAGAGGTAGATGAAACCCAAGTATCCATCAAGAAGGGATGAGTGGATAAACAAAATGTGTGATATAGATACAATGGAATAGTATTCAGCCTTAAAAAGGAATGGAGTTCTGACATATGCTATAACATGGATGAACCTTGAAGATATGCTAAGTGAAATAAGCCAGTCACAATAAGACAAATACTGTATAATTCCTTTTATTTAAGCTACCTAGAGTTGTCATCTCAGAAAGTGGTATGGTGGTTGCCAGGGGCTGGGGGCAGGAGAAATGGGGAGTTATTGTTTAATGGGCACAGAGTTTCAGTTTGGGAAGATGAAAAAGTCCTGGAGATTAGATGCACAATGATGCAAATATACTTAACGCTACGAATATACTTAACGCTACTGAACTGTGTGCTTCAAAATGGTTAATAGGTAAATTTTCTGTTATGCATTTTTTACAATTAAAAATAGCAACCAGCTAGCTGCCAAAAAAACCAAAAAACCCCAAAAAACAGCAGCTACCTTCTGTGACTATAAATTTTCTGTTATGCATTTTTTACAATTAAAAATAGCAACCAGCTAGCTGCCAAAAAAACAAAAAACCCCAAAAAACAGCAGCTACCTTCTGTGACTGAGAATTGCTTGCTGTACATTCAGCTGTTTAAACCTATTCCCTTACAGCAGCAGTTCTCAAAGTGTGGTCCATGGGCTCCTGGAATTCCCAAGACTCTTTCAGGGGGTCCACAGGTCAGACCTCTTTTCATAATAGTAATGCAATGCTAATTGCCTTTGTCACTGTGTTGATATATGTGTCTAAGGTGCAAGAGCAATGGTAGGTAAGGCTGCTGCTACCTTAGCTCCCAACAGTACTAGTACTTTGTATTTGCCACTGTCACACATTCAAGGTTTACAAAAAATGCCAGTTTTAAGAATGTACTCAAGCAGTTCAAATTACTGATTTTAGAAAATCTCTTTTGGGCCGAGCCTGTGGCGCACTCGGGAGAGAGCGGCGCTGGGAGCGCAGCGGTGCTCCCGCCGTGGGTTCGGATCCTATATAGGGATGACTGGTGCGCGTACAGCGCTCACTGGCTGAGCGCGGTGCGGCCGGTCTCAAAAAAGGACAAAAAAAAAAAAAAGAAAATCTCTTTTTTAGTAAACATCTTTTTAATATTGTCTGTGAAAAGGGAAGTAGCACAAAGCANTTTTACTACTGAAGGAAATAGTCAAAAAGCAAACGGTGGAAAATGGTAAATATTAAGTAAATGCTGTAGAAGTGAATTTGTAAATATTCTACACTTGTAAAATATGTAAAACTATTAGTTATTTTTATTAAATGTATTTTAAAACAAAAAAATTAATTCTGGTTTCTGTAATTAGAATGCAAAGATGAGATAAGTTCATTTCTCTTGGTATATAGAATTGAAATGCATTAGCAAAATCCTAATAAAATTAATTATCAGTTATTTTGAAGATCTGGCATATATAGCATCACAAATCTATAGTAGCGTGGGTAGTATTTAAAAATAGAAGAATACTGTTAGTAATGTAACAAATGCTTACCTACTACCCAGACTTAACAAATGTTAATATACTAAATGAGAAAAAAGAAAACATTACAGATATACCCAATGATCTTGGGGTATTAAAAAAAAGGGGGAGCTGGCAGGTTAGCTCAGTTGATTAGAGCACAACTTTATAACCCCAAGGTCACAGGTTCAGTTTCCCATACTGGCCATCCACCAAAAAAAAAAAAAATTACGGATAAAATTGAGGTCCCCTTAGTACTTCATTCTATTCCTATTTTTTCGTTTTCACTCTTCCCAAAGGGAAATAACTCTTATGAAATTAGTGTGTATCCTTCCGTAATTTTATACTGCTATTTTATAAGAATGCATGTAGTAATATGCATAACAATATATAGCATTGTTTGGGAGCTCAAAATTGTATGAGTGATAAGACTGTTTATGTCATACTGTGATTTTGTTTTTTACTCAAAACTTTTTAATTCCTTCCATATTAATACATACAAATTAAATTCATTTGTTTTAGCTACCAAATAGTATAATATCATACAGTAACATCATGTATACAACACTTGTTTCCCATGCTGTGTTTATGGACTATATTATTTTTCTGTTGCTGTGTAAAAATTACCATGAACATAGCACCTTAAAGTAACACAGATATATTAGCTCACAGTTCTGTAGGTCAGATATGTGGCATGGCTCAGCTATGTTTTCTGCTTAGGGTCTCAGAAGGCCAAAATCAAGGTGTTGGTCAGACTGTTGGACAAATTGGGCTCTTATCAGGAGGCTCTAGGAAAGAATCTGCTGTCAAGCTCATGCAGTTCTTGTAGTTTTAATATGCATTCTCCATAGCCCCATGTCCTTGTTTGCTGTTGGCTAGGGGCCTCTCTCAGCTCACATGCCTTGTCATGTGGTACTCACCATCTACAACCCAAGCAATCCCCTTTGTGTTTCTGATTTGTCCGATTTCCTCATTTGCCACTAAGGAAGGAAACTCTGCTTTTAAAAAAAGGGCTCACTTGATTGGTTTATCTAAATATTAAGTAAGGTAAACTCACTTAGGACTTTACATCTTAAAAATCTCTTTAGAGCAGTACCTAGATTAGCATTTGAAAATCAGGACAGGAATCTTGGGAGGGCATTCTTTCGAATTCTGCCACATGGACATTTAGATTGTTTTTAATTTTTCATAATTATTTAAAAATGCAGTGTTCATATGCATATGTACAAGTTTTTCTAATGTACATACTTAGAATTTTAATTGTGGGGTGATAAAGTGTTGATACTGCCATGTTTCTCCAAAGTAGTTGTATCAGTTTGCTGGAAGTAGCTGTTCAATAGTTCTTAAAAATGAAGAAGCCCTACCAAAAAGATGTATAGGAGAAAGAAAGAAAGAAAGGAAAAAAAAAAAAATGAAGCCCCTTACCTTACATCATGTGCAAATATTAACTCAAAATGGATCAAAGGCCTAAAACTATAAGCTATTAGAAAAAACATAGGGGAAAACCTTTATGACATTAGATTTGGCAAGGACTCCCTGGATATGACACCAACAGCACAGGAACAAAAGTAAAAACAGATGGGCCAGCCCGGTGGCGCACTGCTACAGTGCGCTGCTTGGGAAGCGCGGCAGCGCTCCTGCCGAGGGTTCGGATCCCACATACAGACCGGCCGCTCACTGGCTGAGCGAGGTGTGGGAGCAACACCGAGGGTTGCGATCCCGTTGCCGGTCCCGGTCCGGTACGGGCGCGACACTGAGGGTTGCGATCCATTGCCGGTCACGAAAAAAGACAAAAAGGAAAAAAAAAAAACAGACAATTGAACTATGTCAAAATTAAAAACATCTGTGAATCAAAGGACATAACCAACATAATGAAAAAGCAGCTTTATAGAATAGGAGAAAATATTTGCAAATCATATATCTGATAAGAGGTCAATAATCAGAATATATAAACTCAAAAAACACAATTAAAAAATAGGTTAATTTGAAATCCCACAACTCAAAAAATGAACCCAATTAAAAAATGGGCAAAGGACTTGAAAATTTTGACATTTCACCAAAGATGATATACAAATGGACAAGCATATGAAAAGATGCTCAACATTACTAATAGCAGAAATGCAAGTCAAACCACAATGAGAGAACACTTTACACCCATTAGGATGGCTACTATCCAAAATAAAACACAGAAAATGTGTTGAGGAGGATGTGGAAAAATTGGAACCCTCATGCTCTATTGGAGGGAATATTAAAATGGTGCAACCACTATGGAAAACAGTGGTGGTTCCTCAAAAAATTAAATATGGAATTGCCATACGACCCAGCAATTCCACTTCTGGGTATATACCTAAAAGAATATACCTAAGCAGGATCTTGAAGAGATGTTTGCACACATGTTCATAGCACCGTTATTCACAATAGCCAAGAGGTAGATGAAACCCAAGTATCCATCAAGAAGGGATGAGTGGATAAACAAAATGTGTGATATAGATACAATGGAATAGTATTCAGCCTTAAAAAGGAATGGAGTTCTGACATATGCTATAACATGGATGAACCTTGAAGATATGCTAAGTGAAATAAGCCAGTCACAATAAGACAAATACTGTATAATTCCTTTTATTTAAGCTACCTAGAGTTGTCATCTCAGAAAGTGGTATGGTGGTTGCCAGGGGCTGGGGGCAGGAGAAATGGGGAGTTATTGTTTAATGGGCACAGAGTTTCAGTTTGGGAAGATGAAAAAGTCCTGGAGATTAGATGCACAATGATGCAAATATACTTAACGCTACGAATATACTTAACGCTACTGAACTGTGTGCTTCAAAATGGTTAATAGGTAAATTTTCTGTTATGCATTTTTTACAATTAAAAATAGCAACCAGCTAGCTGCCAAAAAAACAAAAAACCCCAAAAAACAGCAGCTACCTTCTGTGAC